TTTTATGCAAGATTTTAAGTAACATGTCTTTTTCTTTTCTTTTCTTTTTTGCCTGTCACATTTGGTTCTTTAGCCGTCAGAATTGTTGTCTGAACGCCAACAAAGATATCCAACGGATTTACTTTAACAAGTGGATCATCATGACCTTGCGGTATTGGTCTATTTGATTGACCATTGTTGTTATTATTTATTTTATTTTATTTTCAGTTGTTGCAAAAGGGACAGACATGGCTAGGGGATAGGAAAGGGAAAAGAGAGGAAGGAAAAGAAAAACAGGGAAGAGGGACAGTGAGAAAAGACACTTAAAAAGAAAAAAGATCTCCCGGATCACCTGTTGAGAGAAAAAAAAGAGAAAACAAGGAAAAAAAGAGAGCAGCATAATAAGCACAACACCATCGCATTAATCTAGCTAAGTGTAAATAACAGTAAATACTAAATATTGAGTGTTGTTGTGCAGCACACAGGACCAAAAGCGCACAATTTGCTTTGAGGTAGCAGCTAAGAAAGGTGTGGTTTGTGTCTATGAACAGTGAACACCAGTGAACACCTGGGTGGATGAGCGCGCTTGTATTAAAGGTTTCTCCATGTAACGATCTGCTAGAAGGTGTAGGGAGCCATAGCCCCGTCCCCCAGGGCATGAAGCAGGCATGGAGGAGATGTCTGAGTAACATGTTTGATGATAAGCTTTTGACTTCAAAACGTTGGGTTGAATATTAATTATTATTATTATTAATTATTATTAATCTTTTAGATGTCAGCACAACATAGTGCTGAGTGCAATTTAAAAACACACTGAAAGTGAAGCACAAGGAAAATCTTGGTATCCCTCAGAAAGCTTCTAGGGTAAAAGTGTGATTTTAAAAAAATAATGAATGAAATCAGAATTTAGAGATTTCAGAAAATGTTCACTTTCTCACGACTCCCTGAGCATTTCACACTCACCATGAACCTAGAAGTACCTGAAAGCTCTATAAGCATACAAGTAAATGCACATTAGAGACTGCTTTAGACTTTTGTTACACAGTGAAAACGAAATGAAAAATTAAAACTACTCAGTGGTACATCAGACAGTATTAAAGGTTATTAACAGACACAGGTCACACCTGTA